TATATATATATATATATATATATATTGAATCCAAAAGAAAACTGGAAAAAAAGAAAATAATAAAAAGAAAAGAATAACTAAAAAAAAAAAAAAAATAAAGGCAATTATCGGTGTCAATGCCTTCTTTTCGAGGACAGAGATTATCTCTAGTGCAATTGTTTATTATTATAGTCTTTATCACTTGTTGGAGTGATGCCTTTGTAGACATTGTATCTGCTGCAGCTACTACTACTACTACTACTATTACTAATGAGGCGGCTAAGTGTGCTTCTCTAAAGAGATGTGCGGAATGTGTGTTTGATGCCTCGGACGGTATTTTAAGTCCTCAACTGCATTGTGCCTGGTGTGCCACAACAAAACGTTGTATGTATTATAATCATTCTTCTATGGGAAACTCTACTCTTAACTCTTCTTCTTCTTTATTATCATCATTATTATCTACGGGTGTTGATGATAATAATAATAATAATAATAATAATAATAATAATAATAATGAGGCAATGAAATGTCCAGATTTACGGCATGTTATTTTAAATCCAACATGTCCAGATATGTCCTGTTCTGCTGCGCATACCACTAATAATATTTATATTTGTCGATCAGGATCTATTCTTGCTCTTGTGCTTTCTTGTATATTGGTGGTAATAGATGTTTGTTTTTATTTTTGGCTCTCCGCTATTCGTCAGTTGCCGTGGAAGTATGAGCCTCGTGTAAGTCATTATCTCAATGGAAAATCTTTACTGGAAGAAGAACAGGAAGAACAGAAAAAAGTGGTATCTTTAAAGGCAGAAGAAATTGTATTATCTGGAAATGATAGTCCTCAACAACAACAACGATTATCCAGTTCTTGTCCAATTTGTAAAATGATTCAACCCACACCTCTTGGACCTGGTCGTGTTTGTTTTTGGTGTGATATCGCACGATTTGGTTTTATGCCTTTTTATATTGGAACTTCCACCGCATTGTTAAGTCTTGTTTTACTCTTTTCAGTTTCCTTAAAGCCATGGTTTGCGGATGGTTTCTTTGCCTATATCTTATTTAGTGCTTATATTTCCTATACAGTGTTTGGGGCATTTGTGTATTTTGGACGTGAGAAATGGGTACATGAGGCTTCCGCACGGAAAACACTTTATGTGAAACTTGCCATTTATTTACGTGGTCGATTACTTTATACTGTGATGCCAGCTGTTGTAATAAGTGAAGATAATCATAATAATATTAATATTAATAATAATATGAGTAATACTTCTGGTGTTGTTACTGGTACGGCTACTACTACTACTACTATGAATAATAATAATAATAATAATAATAATAATAATAATAATAATAATAATAATAATAATAATAATAACTTAACTGTATCTCAAACATTAGAACCATCTCTACAAGGAGGAAGTGGAAGTGGAAGTGGAGGGGTTTCATTATTTCCATCTAGTAGTGCTTTAACACCAGAAGAGATTCGACAGAAAAAAGGAGAAACCGCACAATTATTAAATATGGATTATGTGGAACAAAACTTTCGAAAAGTTCTTCGACAAACACTTGGTCGTGATGAATATGTCCTTTGGTGGGAAAAACCAGATGTTTCTAGTGTACTTTCCTATGATCTCTGGCTTGTATTGGATCTCGCCGCGGCTGTTTCTTTAGGTGTATGGATGTTTGTAGCTTCTACTATTAAAGATACAAGTTATGTTCTTATTCGTCTCTTTGGGGCTACTTCTATGGCTATTATTGGATTTACATTAATTATTGTATTTCTTTGTCTTCTCATGACCATGTTGAAAAGTACAACGCGTCTTTATATACTTACCGATAGAAGACTTTTAACAATTTATAATGGTGTGATTAGTCCAACCGTGGCGGAGACGGATTTATTAAGTGTACGATGTGCATCTGTATATGGATATAAAATGTTTCGATCAGATCCCGTGTTAACTTTCTCATGGGAAGTACCAGTAACAGAAAGAAAGATGCCACCTATTAAAAGCCATAATTTCCCTGGAGTTGTGAATTTAAAAGAATTTCTACAATACTTTAGAGCCGTTGCCCCTGTTTTACCCGCAAAGGAAGATCAAAGTCGACAGAGTATGCGGCATAATAGACAAGTATGGCGTATGCATTTATTCTTTTGTGTAGTATTTTTAGAGTTTTTACCGGTTATTACACTCTATCCACTTGTAGTCCCTGGATTCTTTTCACTGTTGTTATTTATTATTCTTGGCACGGTTGCGTTAACAACAGTTTATCGTGGATTACGGGTTCAACACGTTACGTATACACCATTAAACCTCGCAGGGAATTGGACAGCTGCACGATGTCGTTCCTCTCGCACGAGTGGGAAAGGTGGTAATAATAATAATAATAATAATAATAATAATAATAATAATAATAATAATAATAATATGAATAGTGGTAATAGCAGTATTAGTTATACAAGCAGTTCTGGAAGCAAAAAGAGGCGAAGCGGTCCTTTTTCATCAGATGAGATGAAAGAAGTTTCTCCCACCAATCATAATAATGTTGTTAGTCCGGGTGGATTGACTGGGAAGATTGGACAGAGTACATTAGGCTCCACATCAGACTCCACACTGACATCAGGATCTCCTCTGCGAACGCGGGAGGTTTTATTGCCGAGAGAATGAAAGCGAAATAATCATGAAAAAAAAGAAAAAAAAATGAAAGAGTGAAAGAGAGAAAGAAAGAAAAAGAGAGAATGTGAAATGATAACATGAGAAGAGATTAAAAAAGAAAAAGTCATATATGGATGTTCGTTTTTTTTTTTTT